GTGTCCGTAACCCGGGCCAAGTGATAGATACACCCCTTGTTAATCATTTTCGTGGCCTTAAGGTAAGAAATAAACCTACCCTTCGGCACCACATTATCCCCCTTCCACTCAACAACTGGCTCACTTGGAAATTCAAACCTCACAGTTCTAGTTCGGCAATCGATCTTGGCAAAACATGACTAAAGCCAATCCATCCCCATAATTACATCAAAATCGACCATCCCCAATTCAATGAGATCGGCCATAGTGTCCCGACCACGTACCGTGATAATACAACTCCTATAAACCCGTGCGGCCATAATAGATTCTCCAACCGGAGTAGATACAGAGAACAATTCATGAAGTTGTTCCGGTTCCATCCCAAATTCCATAGCAACATAAGGGGTAACATCGGACAAGGTGGAACCGGGATCAATAAGAGCATATATATCATGAGTTTGGACAGTCAATATACCTGTGACAACATCTGGAGAAGCCTCTGCACTCTGGCGACCACTCATAGCATAAAAACGGCTGGGTCCTCCTGAACTCTACGCACCACCCCTAGCTACACCACGCCCTGCTGGTGCTGGAGAGCCTCGAGCTGGAGGGGGTGCTAAAGATATAGCAGTTGCAGAACTGGATGGTTGTGTTGTGCCCCTGCCCGCACCCTGGCGGGATGAACGACACTCCCTCTGAATATGATCCCTTATTCCGCACCCGTAACATACCGGTATGTCCTGGTAGCAGATCCCCATATGCATTCTCCCACACTTGGGTCATGTGGGTCTCCACTACCGCTGGAATCTCCCTCCTGATCGGCCTTGATGGTGGGACCCTCTGCTGGCTTGATTGGGCCTGAAGCGACTCCCTTACTGCTGACTGTGCCCCGCTGGCGGTGCACTTGCTGAAGACTGAGTATAAGACTGGGATGGCCCTGATGACCCTCCCCTAAAAGCTGATCTCCCACCACCAAATGAATCTACAGGGTTGCCCACGGACCGGGCCTTGCTAGTACCCTCTCGCTCCCTTCTGTTCTTCAACTTACGGTCCTCTGTAGCTTGAGAAAATGCTACCATTTTCTCATAGTTCATATCTGAACTCAAGGCAGTTGTGGCAGCCTCATTAATAACCAAAGGGCTAAGGCCCTGCACAAACCGACGCACTCTGGCCTCAATAATGGGCATCATGTGAATAACATATTTAGACAGACGCGCAAACTCTATGTGATACTCCCACACACTCTTACTTCCTTGCTTAAGGTTCTCAAACTCTGCGGTACGAGCTGCCCTAGTCTCGGTCGGCAAGAAATGGTCCATGAAAGCGTCAGCAAACTCTCTCCACCTCGCTGGATGGCTCCCCTCCTACCGAGAGTCCTCCCATAGCTCGAACCAAGAATAGGCCACCCCTTTCAGGCGGTAGGCGGCCAACTCTACTCCCTCAGTCTTAGTAGCACGCATAACCCGTAGAGTCTTATGTATCTCATCAATGAAGTCCTGTAGGTCTTTCTCGGGATTAGCACCCATGAACACCGGAGGATCCAACTGCAGAAACATGTTCACCCTAGAACTAGTAGAATCCCCTTGTGGGCTAGAAGGTGTGGGTGCAACATTCGACCTTTGGGCCTGAGAAGCCACTATCTGAGTCAGCATCTGAATAGCTCCCCTAAGATCCCCATCAGAAATACTAGAACCGGAAGTTGGGGTTGGAGGTGGAACCGGAATATCAGGTGGAGGAACCGTCGCACCATCAGTAGGTGTAGGGACTGGTGTGGCCTGGCTAGGTGTAGTGGAATCATGCAGTGAAGCAGTCGGGGGATTATCCTCACCCCTCGGGTATTCACCCGCGTCATCAAATAGAGGGTCAACTGCCACTCCTGAAGCAGCATTGGCCCCTTGGCCAGTTCTTGCTCTCTTCTTAGGTGCCATATACTGAAAGTTAAAGGAATGCACGAGTTAGAGGAGGAACAGTTGCACAATTATTTTCATCGCACGATTTCTTAAATGTCCAAGTAGCCTCCAACCTATAGATGTAGTCGACAACACACCGATAAGAAGGACTCTACCAGACACGGCTCTGAGACATCCTAGGACACTTTAAAATCTTAGACTCTGATACCAAGTTTGTCACACCCCAACCTCGGGGAGCGCGACCGGCGCTCAACCGAGTGGACCCGGTCGAGCAAGCCTGTTAGACACTATCTACCTGACTCACCTATGATCCAGAGAAGGCATGCTCTCATTATTTAGGCAGTAGAAGGTTCATACATATATACATTACTAGGTCGTTTTATTTTGTCACATCATTGTTAAGTTTCAAAATACATACATCCTTATGACTGAGTGGAACAAAATTCCCAAACACAACATGATCCGTTGACTTTCTAACACCCATATACAACCCACATAGTGTCTACGGAGCCTCTAAAGATACAAAAGAGAATAAAGATGGTGCCGGCAATAAGACCCCGGCTATACCATCAAAACGTTACCACAATATAAATAAAAAGTACAACACATGACCCCGAAATAAAATGGGGCTCACCGAGTCTACTGAGAAGAGGATGCAGCACTATCTGTGATCAACATTGTCTGCTATGTAACCACCTGCATTCATTTAAAGATGCAGCGCCACCGGAAAAAGGGATGTTAGTATCGTCGAATAGCACTAGTATATATAGCTAAACACCATCTCAATAGAATGAATAATAATACAAGAGGAACAGTCAAGAATTCAATAAGAGCTTCAAATAATTTTAAAATATCAAGTTAAGGATCACATAGCTTTTTAAGTCAATTCCCGCATTATTAGGTTGGATGGTTTTTAGAGCCAATATGCCACAATCCACAATACCACCGTGTTCTTACACGGAGTCTGATCTCGGCCCGATCGGCTAAGTCATCTCATTTGAGACATCAACCATATTCACTATTTCATTCACAATACTACCGTATTATTATACGGAGTCCGATCTCGGCCCGATCGGCTAAGCCATCTTATTCGAGACATCAACCATTTCAATCGATCATCTTATTTCATATTTCTTTCTCATCTTTTCGGCACATTGGCACAACTGGCTTTAAGTCTCAAAGCTATAAACACTTAAAAGAATTGAAACAATTATAAAAATGAAATTGAGACTTCAAGAAAATGGAAAGGGACTTGATGTATCCAACTAACTATTTCCATATCTGAAAAAGCAAAGAATTGAGTGCTCACCATGTAAACAGCAATTGAATAAGAGAGCAAAGTTTTCATTCTCTTTGTTTGTTGTGTGTACTTGTGGGGGACAGTGGACTCTCTCATTTGAGCAACTCAATCTGTGGTCATAAGTGATAACACCACCATGTGAAATTCTGAAACGTATCTACTCTCATTTTAGTCAACTACTATTATACTAAAGAGGTGGGAAACAGAATTATAGTGCCATTTCTGCTTTTCTTTTCATCACTTGCCACTCAATGAATTTATTTTATGGTCTCATGTGTTAGGAGTGTGTGAACAAAGTACCCTGCGGGCTTGTCCTAAACAAAAAATATCATAATTTCTCTCAAATAGAAAATACCACACCATGTTAAAAGTATATTTGGGCCGTTTTAGCGAGTACATTACTCATATGATCACTCAACTATCCAAAATTATGGACTAAAGTCATTTTTCTTTCATTTGTAACAGGAAAGTCACTCAACTATTCCTATTGCACACAAATGGTTTCAACCAAAATTATCAAATTTTTCGGTGGAAAAAAGTGATGTGGCAGTCCATATGAATTTTTTATATTTTAGACCAAATAAAATATTTAACGCTCAAACAAAACATAGAAAATCTACCCACACCCAACCTAACCCGTTAAAAATAAAAATTCACCCGCTAAATATATTCAAACGCTAAAACACATCCCTATTGCAAATGCATCTCTTCTTCTTATAAAAAGCAGGGGCTTTTTTCATGATTTCGCTCTAGTCCTTAATCTCGCACCGATTATTATTTTATATATAAAAAATAGAAGAAAATTCGTGAAAAGAAGAATATAGGTCATTGAGAAAAGAAGAACACAAGTCACTCTAGTCCTCAGTCCTTAACCTCGTACTCATTATTATTTTATAAAACTAGAGAAAACCATGAAAAAAGAAGAAATCTGCTTTTTATAAGAAGAAGAAGAGAGATGCATTTACAACAGAGATGCGTTTTAGCGTTTGATTTTATTTAGTGGTAGATTTTTATTTTTAGTGGGTCTGGTGGGGTGTATGGATGAATTCTTATGTTTTGTTTGAGTGTTAATTATTTTATTTGGTCCAAAAATATAAAATATCCATGTAGACTGCAACGCCACATTTTTTCACCGAAAAGTTTGATAATTTTGGTTGAGTGACCATCTGCGTGCAATAGGAATAGTTGAGTAATTTTCTTATTACAAACAAAAGAAAAATGACTTTAATCTATAATTTTGGATAGTTGGGTGATCAATTGAGTAATGGATTCAATTAGCCCAACATGACGCATGTTGAACTAATATAAAATTGAAACTAGGTTATATACACAGACAGCTTAGAGCTTACGGTATCATAACAATTTAACTTGTAGCAACATGTTCTTAATATAACATATTAAACATGTAGTGAAAGTTATTAATTATTACAAGTCAATTTAATGGAATAATGTATAAGAAATATATACTTTCTTGAAAACTATATACAATTATTATTTGTATATTGAGTAAATTAGCACCGCTATTTTACACTATATATTTGTTTCTAACAATAGTGGAAACTTTTGATAGACAATGCTTCTTTTTTAAATGAATGTTATGCAACATAAATCTAAATTAATCGAGCCAACATCCAACATTTATCCATGTCAATAAGAAATTGCTTAACCTTACCATTTATTAAATTCTTACTTCATTTTTACCCTTAGCAAATCGGCTTATATTTATTTTTCCTTGTGACCATAATGTTTTATTATATATTTAAAATTATCTTCAAAATTGGAATTTCGTTAGCGTAAGGACCAAAACATAAATTTTTTTTAACAACTGAGATAATATTAGACCAGAGATGTAAATTCGACCTTTTCCCTTTACATTGTACGTTGCTTTGCTTTGGAGCTGCGACAGTGAAGATGAATACGGGAAGCTCCAGTTCAAATTCCAGTAAGGATGAATTCTCAGTTTTAGTGTTAGCATCGGATCTTGGTATTGATGCCCGACCCTTTTTGACCCAACCCGAAGAGAGCTGGCATGATTGCCCTTCTCACCTTCCTTCTTCTGAGGAACAAGATTTTGACTTCCTCCAATTCTTCCGCCTTGAACCCGGTTCTGATAAAGCGGGTAATCGGATCTTCCGTATTGTTGGAAAATACTTCCCGGGTAATATTCCTTCCTACCCCGTTCCAGTTCTTTAAATTTACTATATGTATTACTCACCAATTTTGACAACTAGTACTCTATTATGTCTATATTCTTTTGCTTATTGAGGTTAGTTAAAATGACCAATTTCGATATTCCCTCTATTTGTTCCATTTTATGAGCAATTCGCTAATTCAAAGTGGGATGTAAAAAATTTCAAATAGTAATTAAGTACTGGCTGCTTAAAATTATTAAGTATATTGTGAATAATAAAAATGATCAAGTTTTGTAATTTTAAAGGTCAGAGTCAATAAATATTACTCCTACTAGTACTATTTTGTTTTGATTTATTTTCCTTTTTGTGTGTGTGTGTGTGTGTGTTTTAGCAATGGTGTACTTGTATTGGTGTGGCTATGTTCTGTATTCGTGTAAAAGCATAAAAATCGAGTCTTTTTTCTGTTTCGCTATTGCTGTGGAGCTTACTTTGAGACCAGTACCTTCAGCTGTATAAACTAATTAATAAGCCTTCTCCATAACATTTTTTTCACTATACTGTCAATCGAGTAAATGTATTAGTGTGATGCTTCTGCCTGCACTTGAGACCTGAAAAGAAAGCTACTTTGGTGTTTGAGCTTTATTTTCCTTTATGCTTTATGTTTTGCATTTGTTCCAGTTGCAACTGATGTATTTCTGGGAAGAATACACCATGTAAGCCTGTGATGTCATCCCACATCTGAACTGTGTTTCTCTTCAACAGTCTATCAAACTTTTAAATGAATATCAAGTCAATCAAGTGGTAAAACTTGTTTTGAAGTTCTTCTACCGTTGTTTGAACAAATCGTTGATTCATTAGATGGATTATCGTTAAAATTCAAGGGTTTGACCTGGTTATCGATTACATGGGGGACATTTTACATGGAAGTACTATTTTAAGAATTGACTAGAATGCTTCTTGCTTGATTCTTGTTGGCCTTTATACCAGGTTTTATTGCTTTAACTCTTCAAAATACCTGTAAATAAATTTTTATTAGATTTGTCTGTGTGAGCTAGTCCATTATGGTGTCATTTGTGGTGCTACAATTGGTTCAAGGCAATTGTGCTGCCTCCGTTATTCTTTAATGGTGGGAAAAACAGAAGAAGCTTTGGTTTTTTCCTCTCCTAATTGGTTCCTATGGCCTTGTTTCTCCAACTCCATTATACCCATTTCAGCTGCTTGTTCCTTCCACGTGGAAGGAACACTGACTGTAACCACTAGGTGATTCCATAAACAACAGTCACAGGCCATACAATGTTGGACAAATACATGTGCATGGATGGGTGACCTTTCCAAAGGCGTGATTTTAACCTCTAGGCCAGTTCTTTATTTGATTTTTGCTTTTACTTTGTGGTGTCATCTGCATCTTGTGTGTCCAGAGATTTCAAAAGTACTTGGACAAAATACTCTATTTAGTTTAATGCAGGATATGATTCAATTAATATAATTCGTGGCTGCTGTTTTCTCGTCTCAAGTGATATTCCATCTCATCTTTCTTGGTTTCTGTTTCCCTTGCTGTTTGTCACTCGAAAGTTTTTATAACAACTATTTTCAACATTAATATGCAGCTCTAGTTATAGATGGGGAGCGGCTGAAAAGGTATGTCTTTAACAAAATTTGCACGGAGTTGCCTGAGGGGCCATTCTGCATTGTCTACATGCATAGTACTGTCCAGAAGGAGGATAACAACCCTGGATTGACCATCTTGAGGTGGATCTACGAAGAGCTACCCTCTGACCATAAGGACAGGCTTCAGGTTGTATACTTTGTGCATCCTGGGATCCGGTCAAGGCTTGTTCTTGCAACACTAGGCAGATTTTTCCTAAGTGGAGGGTAAGTAGTTTCTTGGTTAGTTAAGAACTCTGCACATGGTAATATTGTAGATCTCACATTTTCCCCCTGCATGTTTAGTGCACTGTGAAATTATGTACCTTTGTGAAATATTGTCAAAACCATCTTTAGAGATCATCTGTTTGATTACTCATATTCAAATTTGGAAGTTATCATCTACTTCAAAATTTGTCGGGGATTATTTATTTTATCCCTATCAAAATTTGTTCGTGCACAAAAGGCTCTTGTAAATTAAATACTGAATTTTCATCTTGAAAAGGGGGGCCTTTTACTCCATTTACAAGGATTAATCATCATGGAGAGAGCTTTCTGCAAGAACTTTGACCCGATATTTACATTTTTGGTTTTAAAGAATTGAAGCTATGATCGTGTGCCTTTCCATAAAACATGTACGTTAGACCTTTTAACATGTAATATTGTCCAAATGCATTGACGTTACAGTGTTCTTGAAGCTTTATATGTTACTACTATTATTTAGACTTTGTTTCAGGTTTCTCTCTTTCGCTCTTCTAATTCCCAATACCAATAGCCTAAGTTAGCAGCGTGTTGTTTTCTTCATCTGATTACAATGCAATGGGTATTCACTATACACTGTTTTCTTCTGGTGTAGCTTGTATTGGAAAATAAAGTATGTCAGTCGACTGCAGTACCTTTGGGACGACATAAAGAAAGGAGAGCTCGAGATTCCTGAATTTGTTCAAAAGCATGATGACATTCTAGAGCGCAGGCCACTGACTGATTATGGAATTGAACCAGATCCCCTCCATCTATCGCAGATGCCACCGACAGCCTACTCGTTTGGGAGACATGATTCAGGATGGTCATCTAGAGAGTACATGTCTTAGAAAAGCTGCTAGATTCTGTACAGCATTGTACTTATGTACCAATTCTAAGAGTTTTTAGTTCAGATATGTTTCTACAACTTATATGAGCTTGTACTAAGCTTTCTTCTGCTTGTCTCTGCTCACTTTTGTGTTACCATAAACCACTACTGCATAAGTGATCTTTACAGAGATAGAAAGGGAAGGAACCCCTATCCTCTTCCTAAATTCTCCCTTTCTGTGTTTTTTATTGCAGCTAGCGCGCAACATATTTGAATGGAAAACGTTCTTGTAATGAAAATGGTGCAGCCTCATTAGCTCTAGGTATGTAAGACGTAATATCTCTAGTATTTCTTACACAACGATTCTTACAAAACTCAAGATAGTACAAAACAAATTGAAAGACAAATAACACACCTTAACCAATATACAGAGAGTTTCAGATCCTAAGAATATGAGGTTACATGATAATTTAGAGGATTACAGAAGTGTAAATTACATCACTAGTTAAGTAGATCAACATCAATGGACTCGTGGACTTATTTATATGTGGCAAATCCTAAATATTTAATCAAAAGCAAACTTCACATATCCAGCAGCAACACAGTGCAAAGAGGCTGCAAAAACAAAAACAAGAACAGTTAACAAACTTTTTGTTCTAAGTTCTCTTAACAGGGAATAATATTACTTGAGGTTGTCAAAGCAATAGTTACAAAACAAAACATGTGAAAATTAAGAAAACTTAATTACCATCCTTCAAGAAAGCCCCTTTCTCCTTTTGGTTTACTTTTTGGGAAGCACTTCATCTTCTTGTTCTTCTTTCCAGTTGGTGTAGATTCAGTAGGATAACCTTCAAACAAAAACACACAAAAAGGAAAAAAAAATAGAAAATAAGTGAGTTCAACTTCATATTCCTTGTGTGTGTACGTGTGCAAAAAGTAGGGTCTATAGTGGGCACGGCGGATCCCTACAGCCTGCGCAAAGAGTAGTCAGTTGAACACTCTTTGCCAAAAATTTATATTATATTTATTTTTTTATAAGTATATATTAGATCTTGAATATTCTTAATGAAATTCTCCACTTTGATATGAGTCATTGGTTCGAATCGTGAAAACAATCATTAATACTTGCATTAAGGTAAACTGTCTATATCACACCCCTTGAAATGCGGTCCTCCCGAATTCCGCGTATGCGGGATACTTCGTACACCGCACTTCTTTCTTTTTTTTTTGGCATGGAAAAAGTGTGTGTTTAGGGGATAAATACATACCTGGAGGAGGTTGGTTCACTTGGTTTTCTTGCTTTTGCATCTTGAAAAATGAACACAAGAAAAGAAAAGAGGAGTATAGAGGAAAAGTATTTCAGTATATTATCTGTCAAGCAAACAAACAGACTATATGCAAATATGAAAGACAGTGTTGAGATTTGAGAACTTGTTTGCAAATGGCCACCTTTTATATATAGTTTTCACTTGGATGGATGTGGACTAAAGGAAATTAGAAGGCAACAACATCTAGGTTTTATTTTTTTTAATTTTAAAATGTGGGACCCACAGGGCCACACTTCAGTTATTTGTCAAAGAAATGATATCATATGGATTGGTTTGAAAGATAGAATTTTTTGTCACCTTCCCCTGCTGTATTGATATAGCAGTAACTTTTTTTTATAATAGCGGCAGGAGCGTCAAACGGGCAGGTTGGGTCGGATATGGTTCGGGTAGAAAATGGGTAATAAAAAAATAAATAAATTATTCAACTCAACCCATATTTAATACGGATATAAAACGGGTTAATCGCCGGATAATATGGGTAACCATATTATCCATTACTTCTTGCATATGATCACCTTTAGGAGAATTCTTAATCTCCCTAACTTGAGTAACCCCCAATTTGAGGCTTTACAAATGTAAAAGTTAGATCCATTGGTTGTCCATTGATTACCCATTGGTTATCCATTTTCTAAATGGATAATATGGTTCTTATCCATATTTGACCCGTTATTAAAAAATTCATTATCCAATCTATTTTTTAATTGATAATATGAGTGATTAACTGTTTTCTTTTAACCATTTTGCCACTTGGTTCGGGTTGATATAATGAAAATAAAGTAAAAAATAAAATAAATGAAAATGAAAGTGAAAGGGATCACGGAAATGGTTATCAATTTTGCATATGTTGATTGCTATATTCGTGTCTTTGGAGAATATTGCGCCGAAAGAATTCTCAAACTGATTATTAATAAAATTAAAAAGGGAAAAGAATAATTTGTAGTGTGTAATGAAAGAAAGCTATAAGAATATATTCGCAAATTTCATTTATTTATTAAAACGTCAAAATGATTCGAAAGCCAACACGGTTTTTGATCCCTTTTTGCAAATCTTTTTTACCACCCTATATTTTCAAGATTAATACTAAAGATTCTCCACTCCCTCGTGACAGATAAGTATTCATTTCAAAAACCTTTTTTTTTTTTTTTTTTTTTTTACCTTTAAGATTGTATGAAATTATTATAAGAGGCAGAATTTTAACTAAAAGCAGTCAAATATGAAAAAGTAAAATACTCAAAGAAGTCAAGAGATTTAACATATAGCATATATATTCACACAACACAATTCTTTTTAGATAGACAGTATAATTTTTTAGACAAAGGTGCGTCAAATTTTTTTTTTTTTTTTTTTTTTTTTTTTTTGAGAAACTGGAGATTTTATTGAAAATATACTAAAGTTATTCCATACTATTACATGTCACAGTGATGCCTTCTAAGGCATTACGATTGCCAAGTTCGGCTAACATCCTACAAGAGTCGTCTACAACAAATTTTAAAGAAGAGTCTCCATCTTTGTCTGCCAACACCTTGGTCTCAACAGGAGGAGGAGGAACTGTCAGATAGACTAGATGATTCATGTTAGACTGATTGATTGCCTTCTTAGCCAGTAGGTGGGCTACTTCATTTCCTTCCCTGATGCATAATCCTTGGCTTCCCCATTCCGGACAGTAATAACCTGCAGTCGTAAATTAAGGCATCGTAAGTAGGACATCCATGCTTCAAGTATTTTAATACCTCAGTTGAGTCAATTTTCACTTCCAGTGGTGTGAGATTCATTTGCATAGCCACTTGAAGACCTTGTCTGAGTGCCAGGAATTCTGCATGCAAAGGAGAAATAACTTTAGAATAATTTTGGTAGCCAACTACCCAGTCACCTTTATAATTCCTTACTACACCTCCCATTCCACAACACAATTTGTTGACATTAAATGCAGCATCGGTATTTAACTTGTACCATCCAGCAGGTGGTTTATGCCATCGAATATGTATAAGAATTTTCTTAGTCGGATTACTTTCTCTATCAGTCATGAGCTTATATTCCACAGCATGATTAATAGCAGTGATAAAGCTCATGACATTGTTTGTGTTATTTTGATTGTTACGATTTCTGTTCATCCAAAGATTCCAGATAACAAATGGAAAGAGATCCCTTCAAGTCAAAAATTTATTAACATTAGTCGTGGGGGCTCATGTCTCTAATTGTAATAAGCCAGTGCTTATTATTAAAAATTTGGTGATCTACTGCAATTCCTAACTTGTTCTAAACATTACGTGCTGCATAACAATATAAAAATATATGATTAATAGTTTCATCGACTCCTTTACATACTGGACATACTACATCTATGTTTATTCCGAGGTAGTTTAGATAAGAACGACAAGGGAGTCTATCATGATAACATAGCCATAAAAGGAACTTAATTTTGTTCGGGGAATGAAGTTTCTAAATCCATATAAAACCTTTCTCTGTATTACTAAAGCCATTGATTAGTTTGTAGCAGGAGTTGGTAGTAAACACACCACTACTGGTAATATCCCAAATTGGAGTGTCATGGGCTTTGGGATAGAGTGGATGAATAACTAGGTTGATATTGTCAATAATATTGGAGGGTAAAACAAATAAAATTTTCGAGAGGTCCCAGTCATTTTTCGTGCACAAGTCTTTAATAGTCAAATTGAGGTCTGAGATGTTTAGAGTCCTCTCTATAGTAAGGCTATGAATATTTGGGATCCATCTGGCAATTCCACATATTGAGTGTAGAATTTTTATGAGTGATCCAAAGCGTTCCCAAAGTACAGTAGTACCACCCTTTGATTATGCCTCGCCATATAAATGAAGGACTGGACTTAGGTTTACCAGATGCATAACTACTAATAAGGAGTTGAGACCACAAGGCATTGGGAGAATTAAGTAGTCTCCAAGAAAGCCCAATCAAAAGTGCTAAGTTTTTTGATTTAACCTTCTCTATTCCTAATCCACCGTTGGCTTTATTAGTGGTAATAGTACTCCAGTTTAGAAGATGAATCTTTTTCTTTTGTTCTATTACACCCCAAATAAAATTTCTTTGAATTTTGTCAATTTCTTTCAATATTTTTTGGGGGTAATAAAGTAAATTGTATCACATGATTAGGGATATAGGCTAGGGTAGAGGATGTTAATGTAGTCCTACCAGCTATATTCATGCAACTTATTTTCCAGTTGGAAAGCCTTGAACGCATATTATCAAGGATAAAATAAAAATCAGAAGGCTTTGGAGAGGTTTTCGGGATTGGAAAACTTATATATTTCCCGAAGTTGTCACTAATCTTGATACCTAAGTAACTAGAAATATCCTTCTTGTTGTCATAATTTATCACAGAAAAGGTTAAGGCTTTTGAGGATTGATTCACTAGATTTTCTGTTAATCTTGGCCATGAGAGTAAGGTCATATGCGAAGAAAAGATGCGAAAAATAGGGGCATCTATAATTGACCTTAATAGGATCCCAATTCCTAATATCTAATTAGTGGCTTATATATCTAGACAGCATCTCCATACAAAGGACAAAAATGTAGGGAGACATTAGATCGCCTTGTCTTATATCACGCGTAGGATGAAAATACTTAGTTCTAGAGCCATTCACTAAGATGAATATATTACTGGTAGTAATACAAGTCATGATCAACTTACTAATCTTTGGGGGAAAGTGAAAAAAATAGAAGAGTGCGGTAGATAAAAGACCATTCGAGATCTATCAAATGCCTTCTCTAAGTCTATTTTAAGAATCATATTTGCTACCTTGCCCTTACAATTCTTAAATCTAGAAATGATCTCCTGGATGATTATCGCATTGTCACTAGCCCTCCTATTTTTAATAAAACTATTCTGGTATGGACTAATGAGCTTATCAAGGTGTGGCTTAA